ACTAATCATCAGAGAAATGTAGATCAAAACCACACTGAGGCGGGCTCAGTGGCTCAACCTGTAATTCCAACATTTTGGGATGCCAAGGTGAGTGAATTGCCTGAGCCCACAGGTTTGAGACCAGCCCTGGCAACTTGGTAAGACCTCATCTCTACAGTAAATCAAAAATTAACCTTGTGTGGTAGCGCGTGCTTATATTTCCAGCTACTTTGAAGGCTGAGGTGGAAGGATCACCAGAGCCCAGCAGGTCAACTCTGGGGTGGCTGTGAGTGTACCACTGCACTCCAGCCTGGGCAACAGAATGAGACTCCAACTCAAAAAAGTAAAACACCACGTCGAGATACCACCTAACCCCAGTGAGAATGGCCATGATTAATAAAACAAACAACAACAGATGCTGGCAAGGATGCGGAGAAAAAGGAATGCTTCTACACTGCTGGTGGAAATGCAAACTAGTGCAGCCTCTTTGGAAGACAGTGTGGCAATTTCTGAAAGAACTAGAAATTGACCTTCCGTATGACCCAGCAATCCCCCTATTGGGAGTATACCCAGGGAAACTCAAATCATTCTACAAAAAAGATACCTGTATAGGCATGTTTGTTGCAGCTCTATTCACAATAGCAAAAACATGAAACCAGCCATGCTGCCCATCAAAGCTGGACTGCATTAAAAAAATGTGGTGCATATACACAATGGAATAATATGCAGTCATAAAGAAGGACAAACTTATGGACTTCGCAGCAACTTGGATGAATTTAGAGTCTATCATACTCAATGATTTATCACAGAAACAAAGAACAGAGTACCATATGTTCTCACTCATAAGCGGGCCTTGAACAATTATCATAATACTATAAGCAAGGGATTGGCAATAGTGGGAAACTTCCAGGGGGTGGGGGGTGGGATTGGCAGTTGAGGGAAACTGCCAGGGGAGGAGGGGGCACAACTCATCAACAAGGGTACCTACATAATGAACATTTGTATACCTAACCCTGAATTGTACGCCACATTTTTAATTTCTTTTTTTTTTTTTTTTGTCAAGTTGGAGTCTTACTTCATTGCCCAGGCTGGAGTGCAGTGGCACACTCCTGGCCACCCTGGTGTCGACCTGCTGGACTCCAGCAGTCTCTTTACCTCAGCCTTCCCAAGTAGCCAGAACTACAGGCACACGCTACCAGGCCTAGCTAATTTTTTGGTATATTGTAGAGGTGAGGTCTCGCCAAGTTGCCTGGGTTGGTCTTGAACCCGTGGGCTCAGGCAATCCACTTGCCTTGGCCTCCCAAAGTGCTGGGATTACAGGCTGAGCCACTGAGCCCGGCCTACATCTTTAAAATTTAAATAAATAAATAAATAAAACTGAAGTGTGAGGAAAAAAATTAGTTGCCTATAAAAATGTGTATATTTATATCTGGGTTCTATTCTTTTCCATTGATCTGTGTGTCTGTTTCAATCCCAATTTCATGTTGACTAGGTTGCTGGAGCTTTGTGTGGTATATTTTGAAGTCAGGTAGTGTTATATCTCCAGACGTGTTTTTTTTTGCTAAGGGTTACTTTGGCTATTTGAGGTCTTTTATGGTTCCATATGAATTTTGAATTTTTTTTATTGTTTTGAAAATTGAATTACATTTTAAAAGTGCATTGCATCTGCGAATTACCTTGGGTAGTATTGACATTCTAATAGTATTCTTCCTATCTATGAGCATGGAATAGTTTGTGTGTGTGTGTATATGTATGTGTCCTCTTTAATTTTTTTCATCAGTGTTTTATAGTTTTCTTTGTATAGATCTTCCACTGCTTTGATTAAATTAATTTCTAGGTATTTTATATTCTTTGTAGTTATTATAATTGGGGTTGCTTTCTTTATTTCTTTTTCAGAATGTTTGTTGTTGGCCTATATTAAATGCTACTGAATTTTGTCTATTTTGTATCCTGCAACTCTACTGAAAGCATTTATCAGTTCTAACAGGTTTTTTTTGATAGAGTCTAGATTTTTCTAAATATTAGATCATGTTTGCAAACAAGGCTAAATTTGACTCCTTCCTTTCCAATTTGGATGCCCCTTTTTTCTTTTGTCTTGCCTGATTGCTCTGGCTAGGACTTTTAGAATTATGTTGAATAAAATTGGTGAATGTGGGCATGCATTTCCGGATCTTAGAGGAATAGCTTCAGTTTTACCTTGTTTAGTACATTGTCAACTGTTTCTCATATATGGTCTTTATTATTTTGAGTTATGTTTCTTCTATACCCAGTTTGTTGAGGACCGTTATCATAAAGGGGTGCTGAATTTTATTGAATGCTTTTTCAGCATATATTGATCATATGATTTTTGCTCTTGATTCTATTAATGTGATATATCACATTTATTGATTTGCATATGTTGAACCATCTTTGCATTCCTGGAATGAATTCTACTTGATCATAGTGAATGATCTTTTTAATGTGTTGTTGAATCCACCTTGCTAATATTTTGTTGAGGATTTTTATATCTATGTTCATCATTTTTTTTGTTATGTCTTTGTCTAGTTTTGCTATCAAGGTAATGCTAATGTCTTAGAATGAGTTTAGAAGTATTCCTTCCCTTTCACATCTATTATGCTTATAGAGCAGAATTTCTAGGGCTGGGGATGGTAGTCTCACCTCTCACCCCCCACCCTCCTTTTCTTATTTTGGCCTCAGGGATATTTCTCCCTTCATTCACTTGTGATGCTTCCTGTGGGTTGAGGTAGGGACAGTTCTCATTCTGGGAAACCCGAAGATGGTGGGGAAGCTTGTATCTGTCTCAATCTCACTTTTTCTAGTATAGAAACCTGTGAGTCAGGGGAAATTTTTTCATGCACTTGGTGACAGGCAGATTGGGGAAAGGGGCATTGCAGATATTGAAGTCTAATTCTCTTACTCTTTGCCCAGAATTTTTTTTACTTCTCTGTTGCCCCAGAAACTGTATTATTCTTATACTTGAGTTCTGGAATATTGCTTGTAATAATCTTGGTGCTGTACATTTATTTTTAGTTTTCTGTGGTGGGGAGTAAAGCCAGCTTGCTTCTGAATACCGCCATTTTACAACCCATAAACTGACTCGTGTGTTATTTAGAAGTTGAATTTCCAAATATTTTGTGATCTTCCAGTTTTTTTAAATTGATTTTTTAAAATTGATTTTTAGTTTAGTTTTGTAATGGTCTAAGATCATTTGTATAACTTTTAAAAACACTTTTTAACTTGTGTTTTATGACTCAGAATATAATTTAGTTTTGAGTGTTCCATGTATACTTGAGAGAAATTAATCTTCTGCTGTTGTCGGGTGGAATGTTTGCTACATATTTAAAGTAAGGTAACATTGCCTCAGAATATCTATATTCTAATTGACGTTCTGCCTTTATTCTATCCACTTCTGTGAGAGGAATATTGAAATTTAAAACTATGAATTAAGATTTGAGTTTCTCATCTGTCAGTTTTGTCCTTTATATTTTGAAAATCTGTTACTAATACTTACATACTAACATTGTATGTCAGTTGTAGAATTGAGTCCTTTATCATTATCTTTCATGTATCATTAAGCTCTTTGTTATCCCTGATAATATTTTCTCTTCTGAAGTCTTTTTTGTCTGGAACTAATATATCTATTCCTACTTTTTTTTAGTTAATGTTTACATGATGTATCTTTTTCTACTTTTTTTGTCTTTGTAGACATCATATAGTTGGATCTGTTTTATCTAATCTGATAGTCTTTACCTATTAACCAGTGAATTAGAATATTCATTTTTAAAGTGATTTGAGTTGTTGGTTTAAAAATCTGAAACTTGCTTTTTCTGTTTGTTCCATTTGTACTTTGCTTCTCTGTTATGTCTTTCTTTGACTGTCTATCTCTGTCTGTCTATTGATTTCTCTATCCATATATACATATATTTGTTTGAGTCAGTCTCACTCTGTCACCCAGGCTGGAGTGCTGTGGCATGATCACAGCCACCACAGCCTCAACCTGTTGGGCTCAGGTGATCCTTCTGCCTCAGCCTCCCAAGTAGCCAGAGCTATAGGTGCTTGCTACCATGGCCAGCTAATTTTGTATTATAGAGATAAGATCTCACCAAGTTGCCCAAGCTGGTCTCGAACCCCTGAACTCAGGCAATCCTCTCATTTCCACCTCACAAAGTGCTAGAACTCTCTATATTTTCTCTTTGTCTTTGGTTTCAGGAGTTTGGAAATGAGATTCATACTTATTTATCCTGCTAGATGTTCTCTTGAGTTTTTGGATGTGTGGCTGGGTGTCTTTCACTGAGTTTAGAAAATTCTTGGCCATTATTTTTCCCCAACCACTGCCTCCCTCCCTTCTATTCTTTTTTTCTTCTCCTTCTTGGATTTGGATTATATCTACATTAGAACATTTGATCTTGTCCCACAGCTCCTGAATGTTCTGGGTTTTCTTGTTTTTTCTTCACTAATTTTTCTCTTTGTGAATTCAGTGGGGGTATTTCTGTTGACCTGCCTTCAAGTTCACTGATTCTTTCTTTGACTGTGTCAAGTTTAATTATGAGCCTGCTAGAGGAATTCTTCATTTCTGTTACTGTACTTTTCATTTCTAGTATTGCCATTTGGCTGTATTATAGTTTCTATACATATGCTGAACTGCCTCTCTGTGCATGTTTTCTAGCTTTTTCAATAGAGCCTTTAACATGTCAGTCATAGTTATTTAAATTCTCTACTGATAGTTTCAACATTTTTTATATATCAGAATTTGATTGTTTTGTCTCTTCAGACTTTTTTTTTTCCCTTGCCTTTTTGGACATCTTGTGAATTTTTTCAGTGTTGAATGCTGGACATGTTGTATAGGATCATAGATAACTGATCATGAACCTTGACTATGCCTTTAGTGTAGGTCATGCTTTTCGTGTAGGTAGGATTGAGCTATTCTGGTCAGTAGTTGGGTTGGGTTTAATATTTGCTGTCTGAGAGAGTTCCGGCAAGATGGCAACGGGGCAGCTCGGTCTGTGAGACTCTCCACTAAGGAGAACGCGAAGAGACTGGATCTCTCCCTGGAGGCTGCAGATCCCATCGTCGGCAGCCTGCTCTTCACACAGAGCTCAGCCATAGACTTCCCTGAGGCATCACTGTGGTCTGGGCAGCTACTGTGGCTGCTGCTGCCACCACTGCCTCTGCGGCCAACAGCTATTCCACGTCGCACCACCATTGCCTGAGGCGAGCCGTAGCCGCCGCCTCCGAGGCAGCCATTACACATCGCCACCTGTGCCTGAGGCGATTCACGACCTCAGACCTTGAAGCCCCTGCGAGCAAGATCTGCTGAGGTCTACTACCACCGAGTCGCCCGCCAGGCCCTGGGTCTCTTCCCATGTGCCTTGAGGCAACATATCCCTCCCCTTAGGGGCGGGCGAGCAGCTGAGATAAAGACCGTCTGAAGCGAGGGATAACACCACCTGCTGGCGACTCAAGGTAACAACACCGAAAGGGGAAAAATGGAAACCTGACAGACACAGGCCAGGTCTGAGTGGTGAATGGGGCAGTTGTGAACTGAGTGATGATCTGCACTGCCCTTCACAACAGGCCAGGGGCAACTGATCCTAACTGTAAACAGACTTGCCAGCCTGAAAAGACAGCTAGAAATCAGAGCTGAAAGGACATTCGACTTAAACAAAAAGTCTCAGTGTGTGCTCAATTGGTTCTGTTAGTCTACTGACTTGATTCTATTTTTTGTTTTGTCCCCCCCCACTTTTTTTCCCCTCCTTCTTTTCCCTTCTTTTCTTCTCTCTGTAAACCATATCTTTGTATAGAGGAATAGCACACCAGTAAGGAGGTTGGTAAGCTTGTATGTTACTAACATTGTATGTTTTAGTTCTTTTTTGTATGGGAGTTGGTTAGTTTGTAGCTGTGGTCTGTTGTTTTTATATGTTCCAATTTATGTCTCTCTCTCTCCATTTGTTGGTACACTCTCTGTTTTCACCCTTACTTCACTCTGTCTCCACCCCCCTCTTCCCCCCACTGCCTGCTCCATTCTCTTCCCTCTGTGAACCGCATTTTATTTCAGGGAGTAAACCTACAACTCCACTGCACGGGCAGATTCCAAGGCAGTGGGAAGTGGGTTTCAGATTATTTATACACCTGTCGGCAGATACCAGGACCTGCAGATAGATTTTGAATCACAGCTCCCCCCATAAGTAAATCTCAAAAACTGCAAAAAGGACCACCCCCAACCTACAGTGCAACTCCAGAATTGAACAAAGAGGGCATACATAAAGAAGAATAGGAGATTGAACAAACAGAAGTAAAAACAACCCCTCCACCCCTGAATAACAGAATTAAAGAAGACGGTGACATGGAGGGAAGGAAAAAGTAGGGAAGGGGAAAACAACAACAACAACAACAGCAAAAAATGCACAAATGAAGAAAAACCAAAAGAAGAGTATAGGTCTCACACAGACCCCTGGGAGATCAGACACTGAGAAAACAGATTTCTGAACACAAACAATGAAGAGCCCCCAGAATGACTGGTCACATGCAACAAACCCAGACATCAAGACATTAATAGAGAGAATAAAAGAAATCGAGGTGAGACAAGAGGAAAATAGGAAGGAGCTAATGTCAGAAATAACAGCAGTAAAGAATACTGTGATGAAAATAAAAAACAAACTAATAAGCATGGAAAGCAGAATTAGCCAAGCAGAGAAAGAATCTGAGAGCTCGAAGACCAAAACACAGAACTAACCCATACTGTCAAAAACATGGAAAAGAAGCTCAAAAAGACTGAACAAAACCTTCAAGAAATGAATGATTACTTCAAGAGACCGAACCTAAGAGTAATTGGTCTTCCTGAGGCAGAGAGAGAAACAGAGGCCACACTGGAACAAACATTTCATGAAATCATTCAGGAAAACTTCCCTCATCTCATCAGAGATGCAGAAATTCAGACGCAAGAGATTCAGAGAACCCCTACAAGACAAAAATGAGAAGACCACTCTCAGACACATAATAATTCACCTAAACAAAGTAGGTATAAAAGAAAAAAATCCTAAAGGCAGCAAGAGAAAAAGGTCAGACTACCTACCAGGGAAGACCAATTAGAATAGCAGCAGATTTATCTACAGAAACCCTCCAGGCTAGGAGAGCTTGGAGCCCTATCTTCAAAGTTCTAAAAGATAAACAATTTCAACTGAGAATAAACTACCCAGCCATGCTAAGCTCCATCAGTGAGGGAGAATTGAAATCTTTCCCAGATATCCAATCCCTAAGAACCTATGCTGCCACAAGACCACCTCTACAAGAAACACTGAAGAAAGTATTGAACACAGAAGAAAAGGAAAAAAGAACAATGTTCTTCACAAGAGTACAGGCAAAAGATTAAAAACACACATGAACCAACTCCAGAACTAAAAGAAGGACAACACACAAACAGAAAGAACAACAACTCTGAAAGAACATTATGATAGGGATCAACTCTCACATTTCAATAATTAGTCTGAATGTGAATGGACTAAATGCACCACTGAAAAGACATAGAATGGCAAAATGGATGAAATATCACCAGGCAATAATTTATTACCTTTGAGAGACTCACCTCACCAGAAAGGACACTCACAGACTCAAAGTAAGAGGATTGGAAACAAATTTTCAGACGAACGGAACACAAAACCAAAAGGAGGAGTCACGATCTTAATCTCAGACAAAATACCCTTTAAGCTATCAAAAATCAGAAAAGATACAGAAGGCCACTACATAATGATAAAAGGTTCAATCCATCAACAAGAAATATCCATCCTAAACATATATGCACCCAACATAGGAGCACCAACTTTCATAAGACAGCTTCTAGGTAAACTAAAAAATGATATCGACTCCAACACCATCATAGCTGGGGACTTCAATACCCCACTCACAACCCTAGACAGATCATAAAGACAAAAAATCAGCAATGAAATCCGAAACCTCCATGTGACTCTTGATCAAATGGACTTAATTGATAGCTACAGAACACTCCATCCAAAGACCACAGAATATACATTCTACTCATCACTGTATGGAACATATTCTAAGATCGACCACATAATTGGACATAAATCAAGCATAAGCAAATTTAAAAGGACTGAAATTTTACCATGTACCTTCTCGGACCACAGTGGAATAAAAAAAACATTAACACCAACATAGGTCACCCCCAAACCCACAAAGACATGGACACTAAACAGCATGATGCTGAACAACTTCTTCTGGGTCAACAATGAAATCAAAACAGAGATTAAAAGTTACCTGGAAACAAACGAAAATGAAGAAACATCTCACCAAAATTTCTGGGATGCCATGAAAGCTGTAGTAAGAGGGGAATTTATATTCCTACAAACGCACGTGAAGAAAATGGAAAGATCACAAATTAATAGCATAACAAGTCACCTAAGGAAGCTGGAAAAGCAAGACCACCAAAACCCTAATTTCAGCAGAAGAATCCAGATCACCAAAATAGAAGAAAAAAAATAATACAAAAAAATCAATGAATAAAAAAACTGGTTCTTCAAAAGGATAAGCAAGATCAATGGTCCCCTAGCTAGATTGACCAAGAATAAGATAGAAAAAGCCCCCCAAAACACAATCAGAAACACAAAAGATGAAGTCACATCTGACTCTGAAGAAATACAAAAGATCATTAGAGACTACTATGTACACGTGTATGGAAACAAACTTGAAAACCTTAAGGAAATGGAGGATTTTCTGACATCACACAACCTGCCTAGGTTGAAACAAGAAGAAATTGAGACCCTAAATAGACCAATAACAATCAAGGAAATTGAGTACATATTAAGAAAACTACCTACAAAAAAAGCCGTGGTCCAGATGACTTTTCAGCAGAATTATACAAGACATTTAAGAAGGAGCTGATACCAATCCCACTGAAGGTATTCCAGGAGACTGAGAAAGATTGAACTCTCCCCAAATCATTTTATGAAGCTAGCATCACATTGATACTCAAGTCACCTAAAGACCCAACAAAGAAAGAGAACTACAGGCCAATATCTTTGATGAACATAGATGCCAAAATCCTCAACAAGATCCTAGCAAACCAGATTCAACAACACATCTCAAAAATCATCCATCATGACCAAGTAGGCTTCATTCCTGGGATGCAAGTCTGGTTCAACATTTGTAAATCCATTACTGTAATTAAATACATCAACAGATGTCAAAACAAAAACGACATGATTATATCATTGGACGCATACAATTTTTTTGAGAAAATCCAGCACCCGTTCTTGATAAAAATCCTCGATCATCTAGGCATATGGAGAACATACCTCAATATAGTAAAAGCCATCTATGAGAAACCCACAGCCAGCATACTCCTAAACGGACAAAAATTGGAACCATTTCCCCTGAAAATTGGAACAAGACAAGGATGCCCACTCTCAACCCTCCTGTTCAATATAGTATTGGAAGTCCTGGCTAGAGCAATCAGAGAAGAGAAGGCAATAAGGAGTATCCAAATAGGAAAAGAGTAAGTCAAGTTATCTCTCTTTGCAGATGACATGGTTGTATACCTTGAAAACCCAAGAGAATCTGTCAGAAAAGTCCTTACACTGATAAAGGCCTTTGGCAAACTCTCAGGGTATCAAATAAATGTACAAAAGAGAATCGCATTTCTTTACACCAACAATAAACAAACGGAAACCCAAATGAAAAGCACAATTCCACTCACAATAGTCACAAAAAAAATGAAATACCTTGGCATCTTCCTAACCAGAGACATGAAAGACCTTTACAATGAAAACTACAAAACACTGCTCAAAGAAATCAAGGATGACATGAACAAGTGGAAAAATATCCCATGCTCGTGGACTGGAAGAATCAACATTGTGAAGATGTCCATCCTACCTCAGGCAATCTACAGATTAATGCAATACCCATCAGATTACCAGGAACATTCTTCTCAGACCTACAAAAAACAATACAGGAATTCATATGGAAACACAAACGACCAAACATAGCCAGAACAATCCTCAGGAAAAAAAAAAAATAGCAGGCAGTATCACATTAATAGACTTCAAACTTTTCTATAAAGCTACAATAATCAAAACAGCTTGGTATTGGTACAAAAACAGACATATAGATCAATGGAATAGAATTGAGATTCCATAAGCTAAACCTCAATTTCTCTACTAACTCATCTTCACCAAAGCCTCCACCACCCATCACTGTG